AAGTGAGCCGAGGAGCAGGAAAAGAGCCGTGGACCGGCGGGGGGCCGGGGGCCGGGGCCGGAAGACGTCCGGACGCGCCCTGAAGGCGACAGTGCAGAGCGGAAGCCTGAAGGTCTTTGGGAATTGGAATACTTGCTGGCAAAGAAGGATTAAGACCCGGATCTCGCCTCCGCGCGGGAGAGAGGTGTCCGGGATGTGGGATCCGAGATTGGTAAGGTTGGCCGTGCTGCAGCATCTCCGGGCTGCCTATAGCATTAAGGTCAAGGGTGGCCGTGGGCCCTGCGATCGCCGGAGACAGGAAACAGCCGCCGCGGAAACGGGGGTGAGTCCCGGGGAAGGGGATTTGGGTGAAAAGTGGTGCGCCCTGTACCATCACTTGTTACCAGGTCTTGCGAGTGTTCATTCTGCGAGGATCCCATAGAGGGTCTGAAGTCGATGTAGGTGTGTAATTCAATCCAGATGGTCAATTGCTGAAATGTAAAAAGACGTTTTTTATGCTTTTCCGGATTGTTTGGTAGAAGGTCGAAGAGCTTATAAAGGAGCAGACAACTTAATCTTTTATCTCCAGGAGAGGCTGGTGAGCCTCCGACTTTTGGATTAGTAGCCCACTGTGTCACGGGCTCCAAAGAGCCTGTTTACTGTATTTTGAACTTTCCTTTTTTTTCCCAATCACGTGGCGGTGAAGCAAAATCTAACCTGCATTCCTCTGAGAGTAAGCGTTGTAGTGCGGCCCGCGGGCCAGTTCCTTTTCAATACCAGTAGATGAAGCCTCCTAGATCATTAGAAATAAGCGTCCAGTATTACCTCTATTTCACCAACCTGGGAAAACAAGCTTGCTGTTCGGCCTTGTCATACATTTGAGACATAACATTCTTTTTCAAAAGGAGATGCCCTAGTGAAAATGATCGAAAGGCTGTTGATGTCTGGTTGGTCCAAGTCTGGAGACCTTGTATGAGATTTTAATAGCCCCACCACATAGTCAGGAATTTCTATTGTGAAAAATACAGTTAGTGGATATAAAGCATTTTATTTCAAATCTATTACGTAGAAGACCAACTCTCTGTGAGTAGAGAGCCCCATCTTTCTCTGTGGGGTGGCTGGCATTTTCTAACCGCTACTCTTGTGTACATAACCTCCAGCCACCAGGGCTCCTTTGAGAAGCAAAGTAACAATAATTTGTATACCTCTTAATATAAATTCTGGAGCAATTGTTTTCTGTTTGCAACCTAGGGACAGCATATGTATTTATATTTTTAAAGTACGAGGCCTTTGGATTCTAAAAGTGTCTAAGATCACAAATCTAGCAGGTTTTGTGAGTATATGAACATTTTGTATACATGGGCTTTAACTTCTTTATAAGAAAAACTGATCCCTTTAGAATCTGATACCCCTGAGCCTTAATTTTGCTGGACATGTGTCAGACTTGAGGTCTAGTTTAGTTTTTGTAAGCCGTGGTTTCCTCGTTTATAAACGGAATAGTAGTATCTCTACTTGGCTTGTTTAGGGGATTTAAAAACAATGCCATCTGTAGATGGGGCTAGTTCTGTGCCTGCCACATGCAGCTTGTTCAACGAATGATTCTTGTGGTCTGCATTCTAACTGATAATCATGCTATGTAAGTTCAGGCTCCCTGGTGGCGTGGCGCATTGGCTAAGAATTAGAAAGTTCTACTATTCAAACCCATTAACCGCTCCACAGGAGAGAAAGGTGTGAGTCTCTGCTGCCATTGATTGACAGCCTCGGAAACCTTAAGGGACCAGTTAGTTCTTCTCTGTCATACAAGGGTCAGGGAATTTTTGGTTGATTTGGGCTCAAAGCAACCCAGGTAACAGTATGGCTGCTTAGGGTTTTCCAGAGCCAGACGCCCAAAACGTGCCAAACGGCACAGCTGGACTTCCTGCTTCTGGGAATGCTCAGTCAGGGACAAGCAAGCACAAAATGACTGCCTTTGATGGAGGTGTGGCTTTTCCTTCTGCAGCCCTTGCCTTCCCTCAGGAAACAACCCTTTAGTAAGATGGAGACTCAAAGTACTTCCACCATAATCCTGTCCATTAGTGTAACAGAACGCCCTCCGAAATGGGATTATAGCCACAAGCGCAGAGGCTAGAATTGATAATACATCACAGAAGGATTCTGGCTAGAAGGGCCACATCTAAATTGTGGTGCTAGCAAAGAATATTGAAAGTACCATGAGCTACCATGCAGAAGTACAGCCAGAATGCTCTTTGGAAGCAAGGAAGATGGAATTTTGTGTCATGATCTTTGGACATGTCGAGAGACCAGCCTCAGGAAAAGCACAACATGGCTGGTAAGGTGGACTGGCACTGCCAACAACAACAACAGGGAAGACTCTCCACACAGTGGATTGACACGGCCGCTGTAACAATGAGATCAAACACAAGAGCGACTATGAAGATGGTATAGAACAAGCAGGCAGTGTTGTACTTAGGTTCTGAATTGTTTTGGCTGGTAGTTTATTTCTACATATAAATACATATATATGGTTTCCTGGGTTTTAATTTGCCTAATGTTTAAGAAAACTTATGCCTAATATTTATTTGTCTTAAAGTAACTGAATTTTTCCATTTTAGGGTAAAGTATTTGGAGTGCCTTTTAATACATTGCCCCATTCTATTGTACCAGAATACGGACACATTCCAAGGTGAGCAAAGTGTGGAAGGAAGAATAAAATGTGATGTAAAATACAAAGTGATGTAAAAAGAAATACAAAGTGATGTAAAATACAAAGTGATGTAAAAAGAAATAGTTAATTGATTCATATTCACACGTTTCAAACTAGCAGGTGATTTCTCTCAACACATACATATTGTTTAAAAATGACTTTTTGTTTAGTTTTACATATCTTATTATAACTTGTCATTTATATTTATTCTAAGGATGAAATAATTAGCAATACAGAAATGTTAAGAAGCTAGTTATTTTCTATTAAGTCAATTATTTCTAGATTAAATTTTTACCATATTAAGATTTCTAAAACCCAATAATATGTATTTTTTAATTTTTGAGAAATTTTAGATAAAGGAACACTTAATCTAAGATACTAAAGTATATGAAAGTAAATTATTTAACTCAAGCTTTTCTGTTAACCTTTTGGAGTTAACAGAGTCACTGGCAAAGTGACTTAACAATACCTTAAAAATTCATTCAAAAAACTCATGTTATCTTATTCCCTTTTTATTATTATATTCTTTGCTCATCTAATGTAGGGTTTAATTTAGCTAACCCCGTGTGATAACTGCTCTTTATTTATTTATATATTTATGGCTTTAACAAACAGAAATTTATTCTCACAGTTTAGGAAAGTAGAAGGCTGAATTCTGGGAACCAGTTCTAGGAGAACCGTTTCTTGATCAGCTCTGGGGAAGGAAGGTCCTTGTCTTCTCTTAGGTCTAGGAGTTTCTCAGCACAAGGACCTGGGTCGAAAGAATTGCTGCACTCCTGGCTCTCTTTTCTTGGTGGTAGGAGGTCCTTTCCCTGCTTGTATCTCGTTTTATCTCTAGTAAGATAAAAGATGGCAAAAGCCACACCTCAAAGAAATTTTCCTCACATGAGCTCAAGTAAAGGTGTTACACCCCACCTGAATCCCCTTTCAATTGAGTAGTGATCACATGAAATCACAGCATTTTGTAACTGCCAAATTAAATAATTACTTAACTGAGAAGCACAGTCTGGCCAATTTGACACGTTTTCCCATTAAAAACCAACCTCATTGATATTGAGTCAATTTTGACTGATGGTCACACTATAGGTACAGGCTAGGGCTGCTCTTTGGTGTTCACAAAGCTGTAAATCTTTACTGGAGCAACTTTCTCCTGTGGAGAGGCTGGTGGGCTCGAACTGCTGACCTTGTGCTTTGAAGTCCAACACATAAACCACCAGACTCCCACGGATCCTTATCCATATTTAGGGAGCTACAATTCAATCCATGACAGGAAGTGTGAGCATCTTTGATTGGCTAAAAATTCAATTTAAATATTAAAAAATTTTAAATTCAATTGTGACTCACAGTAACCCTAGTAGAACTGCCCCTTTGGGTTTTGTAGGTAGGCTACACATCTTTCAGCGAATGGAAAGCCTCATCTTTCACCTGTGGAGCTGCTGGTGGATTTCAGCCACAGACCCATGGCTAGCAGCCCTGTCTGTAACCAGGACACCACTGGGGCTCCTTTCCCACTCAGTAAAGACTGCCTATTGGTCTGGAAGCAGATGAATTCATCTTCCCTTCTCTTGACCTTACCAAAATTTAGCGCTGGCCTTTCGCTTTTTCCGCACGAGGCTTTTCCTGCTAGCTGACGCTAGCTAATCTGTAATGATTCTCCAGTGGACATTTAATAATCAGCAAAAAGGCCAGGTTTGATCAAAAACTTACCATTTGTTCAGGGATAAAGCTCAGAAGGCAGGCAAGGATGATGGGGAACAGGAAAGCCAGGACGGAAGCGGAAAGAGTGCTCTTGTGGGGAGTGAAACTAATGTCACAAAAGAAAATGTATAGAAATTATTAAAAGGAAATTATTAAAATTTCCTTTATAAACTTTCAACAATAAGAAATTTTTAAAAACCGAAAACATTTATTGGTGATAACAGCCCCCAGAAGTGGAATTGAACCCACACCAGGCATCGCCTTTCAGCCAAACAGTCGACAGGCCTGTGAAGTAGACAGTAAGGCTCATTAGGGACACACTCCTCAGAACAGTCAACAAAGGAGACTGAAGGGGTGGCACCTGTCCTGAAACAAAACCCAGGAAGTGGGTGAACAAGAGGGCATTGGGAGGAGTGCTGTCGCATTGAGGGACAGCAACCAGTGTCATGAAACAAGGTAAACTGCTGAATGAAAAAGAACCCTCTCACCCCCATGTTAGAATACCCAACCATTTAAGACCAGTAAGGCAGCATTTACAGAGGTAGGAGATAAAGAGAAATGGAACTGGAAACACTGGGAGGAAATAGGAGATGGTATATTGAGGGGATTAAGATGGATGAGTCAAAACAATGTATAAATTGTTGAATGTCAACTGATCATCTACTTTGTAAACCTTTACCTAAATCACAACAAAGAAAAAGAGCCTGCCCTGCAAAACTTCAAACCAACCCCACAACAGAGAAATTAATTCTGCTTTTACACAGACCCTGGGAATCAATGTAGGCTTCTCCTTTCAACACTACTGAAGGGCTCATACATCGCTCTAACCCTCTGAAGGCTTATCCTGGCCCCGGTGCTTTGTCACCTCTGCCCCCATGCCTAGCCTTTTCCCTGAGGAAGTTCAGCTTCACAGCTATGTGTCAGGGCCCCATCAAAGGAGTCCTGCTGCTGCTTTACTGCTCTGAGGGTGCTGTCTTGAAATTCTTACTCTAGAACTTGAATTTACTAAGTGGAGTTTGATGGGAAGTTGCATCGCATCTACCTGAGAGCCATATGGGCATCTGATTGTAATATGCCGATGTACTTGCAATGCATATGGTGTTAGTGGTGCAGCCAGCCTGTGTATGGGGAAAGCCAGTGAGATGCAAAGTGATAGCAGGCTGCTCCTTCAAATTGAGGCGTTCTCGGGTACTTGGGGCACAATGGGCTCAGGCATAGGGACAATTGTGAAGGTGATGCAGGACCGGGCAGTGTTTCATTCTGTTGTGGTTAACATTGCTATGTGTTGGAACTGACCGGAGGGCACCTAACAACAGTCACATCACTTTGGTCATGTGATGAGAAAAGACCGGTCTCCGGAGAAGATACACTGATATTGGGGCTGCAACAGTACAGCAAACACAGTGATCGTGAAGATGGTCCAACACTGGGCAGGATTTCTGTTGCTCGTGAGGTTGCTATGGGTTGAAACTGACCCAATGGTACCATACCCAGCATTAAGTCTGTTAGGTGCCATCCAACCCTTGGCAACCCATGAATGACAAAAAGGTGACAAAACCACACTTTTCTAGGCTGTAGTCTTTATGGAGCAGATCACCAGGGCTTTTTCCTGTGTAGCTGCTGGTAGGCTCAAACTGCAGTCCTGAGGCTAGCTGCTGAGTGCTTCGTTCTGTGCCAGTAGGGCTCCTTCCCACGGGGCTAAGCCAAACCAAAACCCCTACCCCCAAGGAGTTGATTCTAAGTCATAGTGACCCTCTTTCGGGTTTCTGAGATGAAATCTTTGAGGGCGCAAGCAGGCTCATCTTCTGAGGAGCTGCATACGGGTTTGCACTTTGGATCTTGTGGTTAACAGCCTAACGCCTAATTCCCCGTGCCAAAAGGGCTCTTTTCACCTGAGGCTACTGGCTACCAAACTGGATGATGAAGATCTGGAATGGTCTGTCATCACAGTGACAGCACTACTGGACACTGGACCCTTGACCTTAGAGTAGAGGCATATCTTGTTTTACAGCATTCTATAGATGGTTTTTTTTTTCTTCAAACTGGATGATGAAGATCTGGAACGGTCTGTCATCACAGTGTCAGCACACTGGACCCTTGACCTTAGAGTACAGGCATATCTTGTTTTACAGCATTCTGCAGATGGGTTTTTTTGTTGTTTTTTTTTAAACAAATTGAGGGTTTGTGGCAACATTGTCATCAAACAACTCTGACTCATGGCAACCATATGTGTTTCAGACAATTTAAAATGGCTGCAGTCTTTTTTGAAAAAAAAAAACAACTGGTCAATTAGTTGGAAGTCCACAGAGAAAATGATTGGTTTTATATTAAAAAATTCTTAGAGCATCCTGCTCCAACCTATCAGATGCAATCTTCTCACAGTGCAACGTCACCCATCCCACCTCCCTGTGGTTCTGCCTCATCCTCTGAACCTTGTTCCCTGTGCACATACTGCCCTACTGATTATAAAGGGCCAATTCTTCTAAGTCATTTCCAGACCTGAAGGGTGACCACAGACCCAGAGAGCCTCCCAGTCTCCATCCGACCAGCAAGACTGGTCTCTTTGTTCTAGTCCACATTTCCACCACTGTCCACAACCTTCCTTTGTGCCTTTGACTCTTGCAAACCTCCCGGAGGGATTTTCCTTGCTGGTTACAATGGTTTCCTGTCCTCCCTCCCAATGTATTGCCTTCCCTTCACTCGGGTTATCACTTTATCCTCTAGCCCGGTGGCTCCCAACCTTCCTAATGCTGCGCCCTTTATACAGTTCCTAATGTGGTGACCCCCCAATCATAAAATTATTTTCATTGCTACTTAATTGTAATTTTGCTACTGTTACGAATCGGGGGACCCTGGGAAACGGTTGTTTGACCCACATGTTGAGAACTGCTGCCCTAGCCCATGACTGCCTCCCTTTCTTCCCCTCCCATCCCTGATAACCACCAAAGAATGTTTATTTAGTGTGAAAACCTGTTTGTTTTGTTTTCTAATAGTGGTCACATATACTATTTGTCCTTTTGTGATAAACTCAGCATAACATTCTCAGTTTCATAACCAGCAGTGTATGTGGGTTCCAGTCACTGAACCCTGGCCAGCATTTATTTTGTGTTTTTTTATTGTCGATCTATGCAGTTAATCCTGGGCTGAAGATAACCTAGACTTTAATTGGTATGTCATCAGAAGCATGTATTACAAGACCTGTCCTTTAGGACGGTCTTTCTCCCATTTGCCCTGTAGGTGCAGATCCTGACTCAGCGACAGCTCTGGGTGTCAGAGTAGAGCTGTGCTACATGGAGTGTTCATGGCAGATTTTTTTTCTGGAAGTAGATCTCCAAGCCTTTCTTCCACGGTGCTTTTGGGTATGCTCTGTTATCAGCAGAGCTTGTTAACCATTCAACCCAGGGACTCCGTTCATTAGAATAAGAGGGATAACATTCTCGGAGACAGATTAATTAGAGAGGAGATATGAAGTGTGGAGGCAGTAAATAAGTAAATCTAGTACAGTGAACCCTCGCCACTTTGCGCTTCGACTTCCGCGGCTTCACTATCGCGGTTTTTGTGTAACAGCGCATGCTCTGTCATTACTGCCACTGATTGTCTCATACTGTACACGCTTGATGCCATAAATAATATAATAAATAATAAATGATAATTGTAACGTCCAAAATGTTTTACTGTATTTTCCCTTTTTCGTTTAATAAATTGGGTAATACGAGTGTAATGGTGACTAAAGGGTGTTTTTTCATGTCCTCTATGCTCTAACTAGGAAAATATTTGATTTACAAATAAGGAATCCTACTTTGCGGAATTTCATTTATCATGGTAGGGTCTAGAACCGATTAACCACGATAAACGAGGGTTCACTGTACTCTGAAGGACAATGCAGAAGAGATACAAGCTTTACATTGAAGAGCTCATTGAAGTTTCATGGGGGTAGGGGTGGGCGGGGATGAGGCCTTGGAGAAGAATCTTAGGCAGTAACTTTTCACCACAAAGTTGAGCATTTGTGACATTAAAGGTTCTGGAAGGAGAGCCAGTACACCATTTTCTCACTGTCTACTATCACTTCAGCTGACATTGTGCATTTACAACAGGAATAAAGTCAACTTTCTTACAGTTTTGTGCCTTAATGACTTGTCTGTCAATAACCAACATCAACGTGCAAGGAGAGATTCACCCTGGCTCTGATGTTATGTTACATGTCAGCTGGTTTGGGCCATGGTTTGTCAATAACCAACATCAACGTGCAAGGAGAGATTCACTCTGGCTGTGATGTTAGGTTACATGTCAGCTGGTTTGGACCATGGTTCTCAGTGGTCTGGCAGTTATATATAGTCATTGGGAATTGTTTAAGTGATGTGGTCATCCTTCGTTTTTGTATAATGCTGATTTTTCCATCATGGCCTGGTCTTTGGGATCTAACCATGTTGATAAATGAGAGCCCAGGTAACTGGGCTGCTGGTATACTTGGGCAGGAAGATTGGTAAGTTGTAGGGTTTGATAAGACATGTTTCTGGTCAGCTGAAGAGATTTCTCCCTTTCAGCTTTCTTGTTGATGCTTGCACAACGTTAGAAGCACATGTCCACACGGAAGGACTTTTTAGGAAATCAGGATCTGTTATTCGTCTAAGAGCACTAAAGGTAAATACATTTTTTAATGATAGTTTTTCTTTTGTAACGTCCTCTGATTGTATTTTTGTGATAGAAATATTTAGAACAATTGTAAGAGTAACTAACTGAAAAAGTTTCCAGAGTGCTTTCAAATTATATACCCCATTTCTATAATGTGCAATGAAATAGATGCCATCATTTCTAAGAAGGAAAGGATGAAAGAAAGAAAAACCCCAGAAGAAAAGGATGCACTGCTGCATCTTGGTGGGCGCCCCTGCGTGAGAGCAGAGCTGCTCCGGGCCTTGGCAAGGCTGTGATCTTTCAGTGAGGGTTGTTAGGCTCAACTTCGGAGGCACTTTTTGGCCAGTAGATCAGCACTTAATCATGTGTGCCACCCAGAGAGCCCCTGCCAAGGAGTGTTATTACTAAAACAGAGCCGAGAGATTTTTTATTAAAGAAAACTGTAGGAAAGGATTTTAATGGCAATAAACTCGTAAGCTGAGAATTTGCTCAAGATTGTTGCGTTTATTTCAGAATAAACTGGATCATGGGGAAAACGGCTTGGCTTCTGCACTACCTTGTGACATTGCAGGACTTCTTAAGCAGTTTTTTAGGGAGTTGCCAGAGCCAGTTCTCCCAGCTAATTTGCATGAAGCACTTTTCAAAGCTCAACAGTTAGGACCAGAGGAGAAGACTAAAGCTACAGTGTTGCTCTCCTGTCTTATGGCTGACCACACGATTGACATATTAAGATACTTCTTCAACTTTCTCAGAAATGTTTCCCTTAGGTAAGTGAATTTTTTAAAGTCCTAGGACATAGTTGATTAATTTTAACCAACTAAATAAGGATTTACCCTGAGGTTACATTTTCTTTGGGATAGAGATTTTCTACAGGTTATTTATTATTTGTATCCTTACTCTAAAAGTATTTTTAGGTTGGGTACCAGTGAGTCATCTTTGACTCCAAGTGACCCATGTGGCTGAGTAGAACTGCCTCATGGTTTCTTTGTCCCGTGGAACCACTGGCTGAGTTTGAATTGCTAATCTTTGTGTTGGCAGCTAAGTGCTTTGCCATTGCATCATTGTCCCTTCCTGGGCTCCTTACCCTGCCTGGTCTTTAAAGCTGTGTACTAAATGATTCCATATTCCCTTGTCAGCTTAGGGTTGTCATTATGAATGCTTTCCTGGCTTATTGCTGTTAGGGGGATTCTTTGTCCTCTGGAAGTATTTAGATTACTGTTTTTAAACTTGATTTCGCTTTTTCAGTGTGCCTTACCCTACCCCTTCCTTGCTTCTATTTTTCACTTCTCTATATTGTTTAATTTAAGAGAGCCTTCAGGCATCTAAACATGGGTTTGAAAATCAGATAAACATGTTCCATTTAAACAGAAAAGCAAAGGATGGCCCCAGGGGACCTCTGACTTTTATAGTTTTGTGATACATGCTTAAACACACAGAAGCTTGTGTGTTTCTGGTTCAGTCAATCACAAGGTTCCTGTATTTTGATGTGTGTCAATAGTGGAATTTTTCCATGAACCTTTAGAAGCCCCCTTGTGTGACTGATAGAATACAAATTCATAAAAATGTGCTCAATACACGACTTTAACTCGCTTTTCATCTTTGGCCTCATCTTACAAAATCTCTTTATTTAAGATCCAGTGAGAATAAGATGGATAGCATCAATCTTGCAGTAATATTTGCACCAAACCTCCTTCAGACAAGTGAGGGACATGAGAAGATGTCTGCTAACACAGAAAAAAGGCTCCGAATACAGGCTGCGGTGGTACAGACGTTTATTGACTGTGCATCAGATATTGGTAAGTTGTCATTGCACTATTGAGTGGCAGGATTGACTACGTGAGGGAGGTGCCAGCTTCTTCCAAGTCAACATGAAGACAACTGTTTACAAACCCTAGTATGTACTAGGCATTTTGGGGAGGTAGAAAAGAGAATAATTGTGCTTCTTATGAACATTTTTGTTTAGGGCATGTGCCAGATTTCATCCTGGAAAAGGTACCAGCTATGTTGGGTATTGATGGTCTCTGTGCTACTCCATCACTAGAAGGCTTTGAAGAAGGTGACTATGAATCTCCTGGTGAGTGTAAGAGAAAGCGAAGGCAAAGTGTAGGAGGTAAGTGGCAGTCCATCTTACGTAGACATATTTTAGCTAAAGTCTAAAATACCTTCATTATAAAACCTTATGTTAAAATGTCTGAATGTAACTAAGTATACTCCATGGTGCATGTCTTGTGGGTGCTTACAGTATAGCTACAAAGACATGTCATGCATGCACTTAAAAATGACAATGCAGTCTAACAATGAGTCAACACAAACATAAAATGTTTTCAAGGGTTGTGATCAGGGTTGCACTTGAAGCCTGCTTGAAGAATGGGTAGAATCTGGGGGAAGTGGGTGTGGGTCAGAATGTTGGTATCAGACTGGGAAGGATGCTGTGGTTGAAGGGCGTGTGTGGGAGCAAGCCGTCTATATCTGTCTGGGTCTGTAAGTAGACCCATCTGACTTGAGTTAAGAGCTCATGGAAAGAAAGAGGATCGTATGCCATGAGCCATAGTAAAGACTTGGAATATTAAGTTGGATATTGGTGATTTCGTTGATGGTTTTTGATGAGAGGAATAATGCAATCAAGACATTTTAGAAAACGATCTGATTGGAAGAATTGAGACATGGAGTAAGAAGAGTCAGTCAGGAATGTAGTATCGCAAGATAAGATCAGGGTTTGAATTACCTTATTTACTCGTGTATAAGCCAAGTTTTTCAGCACATTTTTTATGCAGTTTGTGGTAAAAATTAGGTGCTTTAGCTGATATTCGGGTCGGCTTATACTTGAGTATATATGGTAAGTTCCTTTTACAACCACCTTCACAGTGAACATCTTCAATTTTGTGCTTTAAACTCAAAATCTCAGTGATCCTAAATCTGTGCTTTTTGAATTATATTTTCTATTAATAGGACCACCATTATCTAGACACTCAGGCCTTAAAGCATGGAATCCTAACACTCTTTCCCCATCATTTGAAACAATATTGGTTACATACACAGTCCAGAAAAAACCTCGCAGCCATCAAGTTGATTCTGACTCATAGTGACCCCATAGAACAGGGTAGAACTGTCCCTGTGAGTGCCTGAGGCTGTAACTTAAAAAAAAAAGTATTGACTAAACAAAGGCTTATAGTGTTTCTTTTTCACCATCATTTTCCTTTCAATGGTCCCACCACTTAGTGACTTTGGCCTTGGAGCCGTTTGGTGCTCCGGCTGACTGTGGCTCTCTCAGGGAGACTAACTCTTTTCCGGATTAGAAAGCTTCAACCTGCTTCTGAGGAGTGGCTGGTGGAAAGCGCACACGAATCCAGCAGTTTCCATACATTCTTTTTTAAAAAATCAGTTTATTAGGGGCTCATACAACTCAACATAGTCCATACATATATCAATTGTGTAAAGCGCATTTGTACATTATTGCCGTCATCCTCAAAACATTTGCTCTCCACTTAAGCCCCTGGCATCAGCTCCTCATTTTTCCCACTCCCTCCCCTTTCCCCCCTTCCTCATGAACCTTTGATAATTTATTATTTTGTGTCATATCTTGCACTGTCTGACATCTCCCTTCACCCA